TTGACATGACTTGGGGGTTGTTGGCTTTCCAAATAAAGTCCCAAATATGGAATTATTTATTTATTTATGATGCTCCACCATTTCAGAACAAACCCTTTCATGAAATGTCAGCTGCCAAAAACTCCTTTATGTAGTGTTCATCTGCAGAGTCTCACCTTCAACCTCTGTGCGTGTTGTCGTAAATTCTCCAGCTTCCTACAGTGCATTAAAAACCATCCAGCTGGCATCTTTTGCAAAGAGAAGGTGCTTCCTGCAGCAGCAGTTGGGGACCTGGATGATATTCCAGAGGGTGACGTGGGAGTCCGTCCTATCTATGGGCAGTCATGCCCATATCCTGGACATGCTGATAGTGCTGCTGAGGACTTTCTTCTGACTACTTTTTCCTTGGTCCCATCTCCAAGGCCAATATTCTCGTTGTGAGATAATGAATTAATTTTCTCTACTTGTCCTTCTTTCTCATCTGGGTAATATCTTTGGGAAGTATGAGTGTAGATCTTGCTCTTGATGCCTAGGGCTTGACATCGGGTCCTAAAGCAGATCTAGGAAGAGCTGTGGGTAGCATGGTTGTTGAGCAGGTGGACTTTGACACTGCGCTGGGTATGCGCCTGTCACAGCAAGGGGACATTTTATTCTGTTCTGGAGAGAACAGAATTAGGCTAATAATCCTGTTGATTTCTGAACAAACGTGAGTCAGGACATAGGGTCATATCATCAAAGTTTTGAAACAGGCTGTCAAAACCACACCGCTATGGTTTGTTTCCACACTTTGTGTCACCCTGTTTTTAATGTTCATTCAAATATTCCCTACATCACTTACCTGCCTTTTCAGTCTTTCCTTTTTTGCTAGAGAAATAAATATGACTCAGCAGCATCTGATTACTTTTTTTTCAGTCATATTTGCTTTTTTCTTCAAGACTGACACTAAACAGCACTCCTCCAGCCCTTGGGTGGATTCTGCTTTCAGCAAGCTGTTAATATTTGGGTGTCCTATAGTTCCCTCCTACGTTGTTTTCAAACACTAGAGTGCCTGTTACAGCTTTTTCCCGTGTTACCTGGGGAACCTGGTAGCATTGGTCCCCTGACTTTTCAGGCTGCTTCCTTATTTGAGTCCATTTTTGGCATGTTTGTGGCTGCACTAGTAAGCCATGATTGGGACAGTTGAGCAGTTTTCCAAGTGAAATGCTCTTTACTGTTGTTTAGCTGGGTTCACTGTTTTGTTTGGTATTTCTTGAGCTTATTCTTGTTGTTCTTTGCATTGCTCCTTCCTATCTCAACCGCTAATTTTCACTTCCATAATAACTTTGAAAGTTCTTATTTTGCGTGCTGTCTCTTTAGGGTTTAATTTATAGTCTTCCATGTATTCAGCATTCTTGTTATCTTGGACCATTTATATCTTGAGAGGAAATAAATTTTTGCTGAATTCTCATTTAGGCTTGTCTTAAATCTTATTCCAAGTTTCCTGCATGTTTTGCTTGACCTTCCAGAAATGCTGGCAACAAGATCCTTGAGGATGGATGTTCCTGTGCTCTGACAACAGGCTCCTCTTGAAGTTCAGGAGCCAACTTCTCCATCTTCCTCTTCTGCATGCTGACCCTGCAGAATGGCTCTTGGTTCCTATTTCCTGAGGATTTCATCTGCTACAATATTTCATACTGTGACCTTCTAATTAGTAACGATAAAGTTCACAGTAGCTTTTTCACGTCCTCATCCTAATAAAGGCGTGAATCAAGATGAAATAAAACAAAGCAGGCCTTTCAGGGCTTGAGCAGCAGGACTACTGAAAGCATGTTTTAAGGAACTGAGGTCTGTGCGTGTGATCCTGCTGCCCTGTCTGATGACTTTGATCTTGTTAGATGGTTTTCACCAAGTTTTTCAGTGGGTTTAAGAAATCACAGAATCACAGGATGGTTTGGGTTGGAAGGGACCTTTAAAGGTCATCTAGTCCAACCCTCCTGCAGTGAGCAGGGACATCTTCAACTAGACCAGGTTGCTCAGAGCCCCGTCCAACCTGAACTTGAATGTTTCCAGCGATGGGGATTCTGCCACCTGGGCAAGCTGTTCCGGTGTTTCACCATCCTCATTGTTAACATTTTTTTCTTCTATCTAATCTAAATCTCCTCTCTTTTAGTTTAAAACCACTACCCCTTGTCCTGTTGCTACAGGCCCTGCTAAAAAGTTTGTCCTTATCTTTCTTATAGGCTCCCTTTAAGTATTGAAAGGCCACAATAAGGTCTCCCAGAGGCCTTCTCTTTCCCAGGATGAACCACCCTGACTCTCTCAGCCCTCCGATCATTTTTGTGGCCCTCCTCTGGAACCGTTCCAGCAGGTCTGATGCATGGCTCTGGTAAAAATTAAAAGTAAAGGAAGAGTAACTCCCCAGCAGTGGGGAAGAGGCCCTCCTTTCTGGTCTGGGTGGCAGCCATTATGACCAGTCAGTGTGTTGTCTAGCTGGTTGACACACGGGCATATCTCTGAGTCTGCTCACAGAGCTGTTTCCTCACACAAACAAGGAGGCAACGCATGGAAGAGCTGGAAGTGTGAGAACAGCTGACCTGATGAAGAGAAAATAGTGGGTTTGAGTGGGAAGGATGAATCTACAGGGACCATCTTCAGTAGTCCTGGCTGCTCACAAGTCAATCATTATGTTGTTTTTCTCAGTGCGTTTTGCTTAATTCATTACATTAATAGATGTGCTTAGTCATGTATGGGGTGCTCTGCGCACCCTGCTAACCTGTGCATCACATATCAAAGAACAGAAATCACAAATACAAAGATTCTCCTCCTAGAAATTATGTTTTGTTTCCTTTCCATGTTCACGTCAGCTGCACTCACAGTATATGTGCCAACAACCCCTTTTGGTTTCCTAAATCTCTCACTGAGTCTATTTTTCTGTTTCAATGCCAGGCTGATACATGGCTTTGGTTAAATCGCTTACTTTTCTAGGATTTGCTCTCCTTAAATCTCTTTTATTTCCAGCTCTTGCAGCTTACGATATTCTTTGTTCTACAGTGTGACCTTCGGGGTTTTTGGTCCTGTTCTTCCTACTAGGGACTGCAGTTTGTTACTCTTGAGATGTAATTGCCTCTAATTCTGCCTGCACTTTGTGTCATTAGTCTTGGGACTGCTAACACTCTTTTCAGCCCCAAAGTATTGCTGTCAACTGATGCTGTTCACATTCGTTCTGTCTTTTAGATACCTGGACTGCTTGCCCCTGTATCACATACAAGTGGCTGCTTTCTCCATCCTGGACGACATCTATCTGTCCTGTACAAATGCTTGTCCTGTCATCTTGACAGTTGCTTACCACATAATATGTCTTAAATCTCTCAGGGTCTGTCTTCCCCCGGTTAGGGATTGTGCTTTGGATGCTCTCAATCTGTAGAAACTTTCTGATGGTTTGCTCTGTGCTGCCTTCCAGCACTTGTTAGAAATTTGTTCCCTGGATCTCCTTTCTCTCCCATCCTTCCCCCAGTGCTCTTTGTGCTGGTGTGAGTGACAGCTGTAATGGTGTGATGGGCTATGCCAGCAGCTGGTGCACCCAGGGTATGATTTTAATGAACGAATTTCATCAGGCGTTTCTCCTCTGTCAGCTGGTGGGATATCTGAATGCAGAGCTTCCATGTTAAGTGCGTTGTGCGTTCAGCCTCTTGCTCTTCAGCTTATTTTTCTCACTTGTCTAAGCAAGATGAGCAAAGTTGCTATTTTCCTGAATGGCCTCCTATGAAGACACAACCATCCTTGTTCAGTCTTTCATTACCAGGAGCATACATATGTTTTTATGCTGAAATCCTTGAGGGGTTTCATCTTCCCACGTGGACACAGCCCCTGGCACTGCCTCCTCCATTGGGCAGTGCTGTGTGATGGATCCCTTACCTGTAGCAGCAATTCTGCTGGTTACCTGGGTTGTTGCACTTCTTCCATTAGCTTTATAAATATTATTTCAAAGGATTTTGGTAGGGATTTTTTTTTTTTTAATTTTTCCACATCATTAAAGTATTTACATTAGCTCCATACTTAACTTTCTTACACTGAAATGGTGACATTAGCAGGGACTAGTATTGGCTGAGTAGCATTGGCTATGAGATGCAGACATATGTCTGTAAGGACAAGTTGCCAAGATGTAAATTAAAAGGAAATGGGAAGCTGAATTCCAAAGCTATTGGTTTTTAGCCTTCAGTGATGTAATTAGTATTCATAAAAGTTTTTTTTTTTTTAACTAGATTTGGGATGTGTACCTCGTCCGAGCATATTTGTGATAGCTTTACAGAAGATATGTAGAAATTTTTCCTGACTGAGTATTTAAATTGTGGATTTTTCAGAGCTTTTACTGTCTGTTTGGAACAGGCTTCAGAAATTTGTTTCAAAAGTGCATTAATTAGAAATCAGTTTGCCTGTTCATTTTCAAGTATCTGCAGCACACTGAACTTAGTGTGCTACTTGCATTAGGGATAATGACCTAACCCAATAGAGGTCCTGACTGGAGAATTGAATGGAAACATCCAAGTGGATTTTGGATCAAACGTGTAAATGCTTGCAGCCTGCTAGAGCAATAATTTTCTTTTGTTGTTTTGCACTGTAAAACATTTCCTCACAGGGTAATTTGAGTATAAGTGGGTTTTACTCTAAGGGGTGGTTTTGTGTTTGTTTGATTTTGGACTTTCTGGGAGCGATTATTGCTCAGTTTATTTTTCTCCTGATAAAGTCTAACAGTAGTCCAGTGTGAAACAAGGTTACATTTGCCCTTAAAAAGGAAAGGACCTTATAGACCTCAGTGCATTGTCATGATGTGCTAGTTTCATATGACCCCTTTGTACATATTTGCAGTTGCAATTCTTGTCAGAGAAGCTTTAGAAGGCGGCATGACTGGCAGACTTAATTTTACAAGTCTGCACACTGATAAACTGGATAGGGAATATGAATGGGTATGAAAGCTCCATTCTCAGATAAGAGTTTTTGAATATGTGCTCTGATTGTATTTTCTTTTTTTTCCTCTCTTTCAGGTATTCACTTACAAACAGAGCACAATCACACACCAAAAAGTAACGCCTATGCATCAAACAAGCACAGAGAGCGTGGAAGACATGGCAGCACTTGTAGATCTCCATGAAGGCTCCATTATGCACAACTTATTCCAGCGCTATCAGCAAGATAAAATCTATGTAAGTTTCTTCTAAAATTAAGAAAAATATCCAGAGGGAATGTTTTTGAATGTCTAAGTGCTGTGTGTGTTTTGCTGTTCTGTGGTATCTCCCTCCAGTTCTTTGTGTATCCACACAGAGCTGAAGCATGCCACACCTAAAGACTTCTTGCCAACAACAGTGGAAGGAGAAGGTAGCTCAGGGCTGGCCAAACAGTCCCTTGGAAAACTAGCATGCTGCATACGCTTTTACACTTCCAGTGTCAGAGTTGTGTAAAGGGATCTCATTTTTCTCTTCTCTAAATGCTCTGCCCCAACTGTAAGTGCTGTGTGTGTCAACAGAGAAGATGTGGTGGGATTTAGTCTGTGACTGTCATCTGAGATCCCATCAGGCCAAGACCCAATTCTGATCAGCATCCCCTTTTCTGTTGTGGTAGAAAGGGGATGGTATTACAATTGTCAAGCTGAGACAATTAGTCTACACAGAATTATTTTTCTTAGCTCTGTTATTAAGGTTTTTGTGATTAGATTTACCTGCTTTTTAAATATTTTCATTAAACTTGGCCTGACTAGGTGTGAATCTTTCCTAAATCTGGAACTACACTAAATGTGAGAAAGATATAGGGAATATTTGTGGCTGTTAGAGATTGTAAAATCTCATTTTTCAGTGATTGGTGGTGATGTGGTTTGTTTGGGTTGGTTTTTTTTTTAAAAATTAATACTTATAGAACATAAATAATTCTTGTTTACATCACCTCTCTGGACCCTCGATCTAGACCCTTGATTTGGCCATATACGTGCTTTGTTCTAAGCATCGTCTATTAACTTCGGCTTCTTTATTTTTAAGCATTAAAATAACTTCACATAAAAATAGACTTCCCTGTATTTAGAAATTATGATAGAAAGCAAACAACGGCACAAGGAAATTATGTGCCTTTGGACATTACCTTTGAAGGGACTGGTACAGAGGATCGTAAATGTTGAAGTAGTTCTCTTTACAAAAGTCTTTGTGTATGTTTTTTCTCAAAACAAATTAACCATTTTGCCTTTCAGAAAAATCAGTAAACAAAAAATGAATAGCATATATGAGAAATCTTGCATGTGCATGGGAAAAAAAGACTGCTTAGGTTTAGTTTTCCACCAGTCTTATTCGTTTAAAATACAATACTCAACATGAGTCAAAATAAAAAACCTTTCTTTTTTTTTTTTTTTTTAGCAATTAATTACGTGCACTTGGATGTGGGACACGGATGTCATGTTTTAAAAAACGTGTAAAAGGGGGTCATTTTTTGAAGAGGCAAAGAATAACCTTATTCTGAAGAGACATGTCCTAGCTTATTTCTTAGCTTGTCAAGGCAAGTTTAGGGTATTCTGATACTTGGTGCTCAGTGCAGTGTATGTTTCCAGACAAACAGGTTTGTGTGCTGTTAATGATGACAAATCTTCAGTTGCTGCTGAATACTCATCTCTTCAGTTTTACTGATTTTACTGCTTACTCTGTTGGATCCAGCTTACCTGGAGGAGATTGGAAAAAAGATGTGTTTTGAAATGCATGTGAAAGCCTCTCTGTTGTCCTATATGTGTAACTAGGACCTGATGTAAGAAGCATCTTCTTTTCTCCCTCCTCCTTGGTACCTCAGTCCTGTTGTGCCAATGGTAATGTTTTAACAGGACAGGGCTCCAGGAGCAGAAACCCCAAGAAAAGCTGATTAAATAAGTTGAAAAATTTTGTGCAAACTTGATAGATAATATGAGCACGTGTTCTAGGAGGAGGTATTGTCACTGCTAAATGAGCCATGTCTTTTCAAGCCAACATCTCTCAACTGTGTTGAACAGTTCAATGGTATTTTAATGTTTGATGTTAAAAAAAAAATCAGGGGGCAGGGAGCGGCTGAAAGATGCATTGAGTTTACCTTTGGTGAAGGCTTACTTGCAGCTGAAGAGATTAGGTTCCTGGTCATTCTGCTTTGGGAACAGACTGATTCTTTTACAGGACAGTAGAAACCATTGGAGTTCAAGCCAGGAGCAATCAAAACTTTACAGATTGTACATTTGCCTTCTCCCTTCACCTGTAATTGCTTCACCAGTGGAGTGCACATACTCTCTCTTGTATCTGGCACCTTGGCTGTAGCTGTCCCTGGTGCATTGGGGATAAATCGGGAAGGCATGTGCCCTGCTCCACTCTGAGCTTAGGGGCTGGTCATCTCATTGAAAGCCTTCTTGCCATCCCAGAATATAAACCACCGTATAACTGCCGTGTTCTGGCTTTTAGCTTACAGGTCCCTCTTTACTTCAGCTCTGTACACCTCCTTGTCCCCATCTAGAGTGAGAGGAAAAGATATGCAAAGGTGTATGCTGGCATTTTTTGAGTTATATGCTTGTAGTATTACAAGCCTATTAGTGTGGATCGTGAGTCTGGCAGCTTTTTGTTTGTTTTGTCAGTGGCAATGGGATCAGGAAGCACCTTTGTACCCTTAATGAGGAATGCACTTAATTAGGACACAAGTTTTGGGGCTTGCTTCTTCACACACACACACATTCAAAATTATATGAAGTGCGATGTTCTAAATTATAGTGTGAAGTATATGTAATTTCAAAAATACAGAAGAAACAAATTTAAACAGTTGCTTTCTCAGGAATACAATTATTTAAGCCAATCTTCCACTTAACTTGTGTGTTTCTTTGTGTTTGAGGAGCTATTTCTCCAGCAATGAGCATTTAAATAAATATCTTCAGATGTTTGAATTCAGTTTAATCTTCCTTTATTTAATAACATTTTTGTCTCACATAATCATACCCATGTTCCTAAACTCTTCACCGCTTCCTAATCAATACTATAAATATATTTGCTATGGATGCCAAGTGTAGTCAGACATATCAGTGACTTTCTTTCCTGCTACCAACAGCTCCAGCTTTAAAGGGTCAGCAGAGGATTTTCTTTATTTCTTGGTGTTTTTTGGGGTGGGAGGAATATTGATTTAGCATACAGACTATGTTCTTAGCGTGAGTGATGCCTGGCTCTGTACTTAAGGAGTTGAAGCTCTTAGCTGAATCTGTGCTGTTAGCAAGAAGGTGAATGACAAAAGTTGTTCGTGTTGATGTGCAACTCTCTTTATGTATCAGTGTCACGTCTGTTGACATCTGCTTATGATACTTTTAATCTGAATTTCTGTAAAAGAAAAGAGTGCATGCTTTCCCTTTTTGGCCTGTGAGAAGCATGGGATGTACATGCTCTTTCTTGGTTACTTAAAGGAGGCTCCTGTCTGGTATTTTTTCCGATTTCTTGATTAATACTGCTTTTATCTAAAAGTTTGCTTCTGGGCTATCACTGCTTTTGTTGTCCAGGAAAGGAGCAGAGTTAGGATGGCAGTGATATATGTTGCAGCGGTTTTCATTGCTGCTTTTCCCCCCATTTTACTCCATCAGGATCAATTTGATACAGGAGGTCCAGCTTCTGGACATCAGCATACAAGGTTTAATGCCCATCTTTGCCCAGATTAGCTTGCGTGCTAGGCTGGTATGTGGCGAAATATAGAAAGATAAACACCAGTGCTAAAAGCAGAAGGGGCCGACGTTTGAAAACAGAGCCTTTTGTTAGGGCGACCGAGGGATTTTGTTGCCTCTGAAGCAAGGCCAGCACAGGGCACATGATGTGGAGAGGGGAAGCGCCGCGGCGGCCCTTCTTGTCGCTGTTCAAAGGCGAATTGTTCCCGAAGCTGTTGATTCTGGTTTACTTTTAGTTAAGTACACATTGCGGAGGAGACTGGCTTAGCCTTGGAGAGGACGCCGTGAACCACACCGCGTGGCTTGTGCTGCAAGAGGCACAAATGACAGTGTTGGAGCTGGCTCCGGGACCAGCTGCGGTTGTCTTGTCTCCGTGGCCAGTGGTTGGTTAGTTACTGATGCAGGCGAGCGAATTTCAGAAGAGCAGCTTTTGCTGAGGTGAGAGGCAGGTTGGAAATAACTGCAGTACACCCTGTGCAAATCGGTACCGAGGTTTTCAGTGTCAGATCCACCCCTTGTTTGCCCGAGTTGAAGCAATAAACAAGTTTCAAAGGACATCTGATTAGTTTTTTTCCTTTTGAATGAAGCTCTGAAGTGTTAGGTAGGCATGTTCCCCTTTGAAGTGGTGATGATTTGACACGTGCCTGTCTTGTTTAGGTGGAAAACGTGTCTCTGTGCCCAGGGAGGAGTGCTGGGTGGGGTGCAGCAGGATCCCTCAGCTGCCCTCCTCTGATGGGGAGAGTGGCCGCCAGGTTGTCCAGCAGTTGGGTGTGGTGGTCATGAGGGGTGAGAGAGAACATAACCTATTTTTGCTCACTTTCAAATTAGGACTGCAGCTTGCCTGCCGATAATTGCAACCATCTGTTAAGTTTGTGTGCATCTGTATAAAAACTTCTGTACCAGCCACGTAGACATGTAGTGCTGTACCAGCCACATCCACATCAGAGAGGAGGATGATGGTAATTAGGAGCTCAGTTTTCGTGGCTAGCTTCCTTTTTGTCTTCAGCTGAAGCAACAAGCATGGAATAACTTGAATGAGAAAGTAACATTTCTCAAATTTTTAAAACAGACTTTAAACTGCAAAAGTAGTGTCTTCCCTAATAAGGTTGCTTGCAGAGTTCCTATCCACTTCATTACACTGAATGCTCAGTTATCTGTTCTTAATTTATTTATACATCGATTTGAAACCTATTTATGTTTATTTACTTTAGCAACATTTTCAGTTGTAGTTTGTTAAACTTGCAGTAATTAGATAATTTGCCTCCCTTGAAGTCATGAGGGTTCCCTGAGGCAATTAGTTGATGTTTGTGCAATATTAAATCAATAATGACCATCGAGGTTTTTCAGATTCTGTTTGCAGACACAGATGCTTTAGTATCTAGGTCAGTTGTTCTCTGTCACTTGTTTGTCTGGGTTTTTGCATTTGCAATTTTTTTCTGAGTGCAGTAAAAGTCATTTCAGATCCGGTGCAGTTGCTCTGTGCCATGTTATGATGGTCAGCAGGCAGTGGATGTTGCT